CGGGAGTGGGGGCAGGGCGGCGCAGGGCAGAGCCGACGCCCTCCCCACCCCGCCCGCAGCTTCGAGCAGCTCTGCATCAACTTCGCCAACGAGCACCTGCAGCAGTTCTTCGTGCAGCACGTGTTCACCCAGGAGCAGGAGGAGTACCACTCCGAGGGCGTGGCCTGGGACTTCGTCGGCTACACGGACAATCGGCCCACCCTGGACCTGCTGGCCCTGAAGCCCATGAGCATCATCTCCCTCCTGGACGAGGAGAGCCGCCTCCCACAGGTGCGCCCGGAGCCCGCCCCTCTGGTGGAGACCTGCCCATCAGTCTCCTCCCGGGTTGGGAAGCTCCCTGGGTGGCTCCTTTGCTCTGAAGTTGCTGGAACCTCTGCCAGGAATCAGCAAACCAGCCTCGCTCACCTCCCAGCCAGACCTGCTCTCCCTCCAGGCCTAGCTCGCTGGGCAACCTGCCCCCTCCCCACAGAATGACCCACATCTCAGTCATTGGTCAGACTCAAGAGCGCCCAGGGAGGCCTCCTGGGCACCTGCGGGCAAGGCCACAGCCGGGACAGAGAAGGGAAACCTGCCTGTCCCTGGGGAGACCTACCTGTCCCTGGGGAGACCTGCCTGTCCCTGGGGAGACGCCTCTCAGATGCAGTCAGTAGGAGCTCTTCATCCAGAGAACGGGAAGCCAGGCTGGGCGCCTGGACCATGGTGGGAAGGGTGGAGTCAGAGAGCTGGCAATGGAGGGTGGCAGACCCAGTATCTGCCCAGGCTCTGCCTGGCTCATGTGACAAGCCCCGCCCCCTCAGTGTCAGTTTCCTGTCCGTAGGAAGGCAGCGGGTCATTCTGAGCGGTTGCTTTGGCCGGTGGGAGGCCCTGAGCTCTGTGGGTGCCCCCGCTCCCCCTGTGGCTGGGCTCTGGACCTCAGCCCACAGGGTGTCTGTGTTCTCCCAGGGGACGGATGCCACCATGCTGCAAAAACTGAATAGTGTCCATGCCAACAACAAGGCCTTCCTGCAGCCCAAGAACATCCACGACGCCAGGTTCGGCGTTGCCCACTTTGCTGGAGAGGTGTACTACCGGGCGGAAGGTAGGCTCGCTGCGCGGCTCCCGGCTGCGGCTCAGGAAGGCCCCGGAGGCAGGCTGGGACCTTAGGTCGTTCTGCAGAGCAATAGGAAAGAGGGAATTGAATGGGCCAGGCATGTTTTGTTTTGTTTTGGTTGTAATAGTCTATTGAGTTATAATTCACATACCATGCGATTCACCCATTTTTTTTTTTTTTGGTTTAAATATATGGTTTAAACATATAGAGAGGAAGGAAGGGAGACGGGGAGAGAGAGATAGAAACATCAATGATGAGAGAGGATCATGGCCGGCTGCCTCCTGCACGCTCTCACTGGAGCTTGTGCCCACAACCCCAGGCATGTGCCCTGACCAGGAATAGAACTGTGACCTCCTCGTTCATAGGTCGATGCTCAACCACTGAGCCACGCCGGCTGGCATGATTCACCCATTTTAAGCACACAACTCAATGGATTTTAGTATGTTCACCCCGAGTTGTATAACTGTTGCCACAATTTAAAACATTTCATCACCCCAACAAGAAACCTCCCACTTGCAGTTATTCCGTGTTGCCCCACCCCTCCCGGCCCCTGGCAGCCACCCCCTCCCTCTCTGTGGGTTTGCCTGCTCTTCGTATTTCGTACGGACGGAGCTACACAGTCCGGGGTCTCTGTGACTGGCTTCTGGCCCTGAGCACCGTGCTTCCAAGGCTATCCATGTGGGCAGGGGCCAGACATTGTTTCTTCATATCGCAGCGTAACAGCCACTGTGAGCACGCCACGTTTTGTTTATTCCTTCACCAGTTGGTGGACATTTGAGTTGCTCTACTTTTTGGCTATTTTGAATGATGCTGCTATGACCACTCATGTGCACGTTGCTATGTGGACATATGCGTCCACTTCGTTGGACCCTCTAGTTTAACTTTTTGTGTAACCACCAAACTGTTTTCCAAAATGGCCCCCCATTTTACGTCCCCACCACCGACGTATGAGGGTTCCAGTTGCTCCGGGCCCTCGCCGACCCATGGCACCGCCTGCGTTTGGCTATGGCCGTCCCGGGCTTAACGTGGTGTCGCAGGTGGTTTGGGTCTGTGCTTTGTGATGCCTGGTGGTGTCAAGCATCTTTTCACCTGCTCGTTGGCCTTTTGCATGTCATCCTTGGGGAAATCTCTCTCCAAATCCTTTGCCCATATTTTAATTGGGTTGTCCTTTTATTGTCAAGTTGTAAGAGTTTGTTATGTATTCTGAATATAAGTACCTTATCAGATATATAATTTGTAAATATTTAATTCTGTGGGTTATCTTTTCACTTTCTTAATAGTGTTCTTTGAAGCACAAAATGTTAATTTTGATCAAGTCCAACTTACCTATTTTTTTTATCGATTGATTTTAGAGAAAGAGGAAGTGAGGGGGGAGAAAGAGAGAGAGATTGGTTTGTTGTTCCACTTGTCTATGCATTCATTGGCTGATTCTTGTATGTGCCCTGACTGGGGCTTGAACCCACAACCTTGGTGTTTCAGGACGACGCTCCAACCAACTGAGCTACCTCGTCAGGTTACCTATTTTTTGTTGTTGCTCATGCTTTTGGTTTCGTGACTTAGAAACTACTGTCCAAACAAGACTTCCCCTGTGTTTTCTTCTAAGAGTTTTCTAACTTTAGCTTTACATTTAGGCCTTTGATCCCTGTGAGCTCCTTGTTGTATAAGTTGAGATAGGATTGAGCAAGGTTCTGACTGAGAAAGCAGGGCCTGGGTGGGCCACCCTTGGGTGAGCCGAGAAGAGGGAGCCGTGTCCAGGGTGCAGCTGCGGCCGGAGAGCGCAGGCAGCACAGTGCGACTCGGCTCCGATGCAGGAACACGGACGTGTCCGGCTGGGTAGCTGGAGCCTCGCGGAGAGCTGAGGTGGCACCTGCTCCCCGGCATCATTCCAGCTCTGAGGGCTGTGCCCCGCCAGGCTCCTGGGGCAGCCCCTCTCCCAGGCACTGAGCTCCCTCCCTCCCTCCCACCCTTAGCGCCTCCCCGAGGCTCCCCCAGGCTGTGCAGGGATGCACGGAGCACCGCACTAGAAGGTGGGGTGACTTAATAAAAGGGCAGAGTGGGAGAGGAAAGTCGGGGTCCCGTTCATGCAGAGCCAACCCTCAGAGTCCCCGGAGCAGCCTCCCCAGGCCTGGCTTGCAGGGCAGCCTTGCCAGTGGGTCTGTGCCCACTGGAGAGCGAGCCCACTCTCCATGATGGGGGGTGTGTCCTGTCCTCCGGGACCTGCCACAGGGAAGTCACGCCGACGGGCAGAGGTTAGGTCCTCACGTGTGGAGGCTGGAGTCCAAGATCAGTGTGAGGAGGGCAGCGCCCTCCGAGGCCCCTGCCTGCGGGTGGAAGCTGCTGCGCACCTTTCTGTCTGTGCGTCTGTCCGGCGCTGCTCTTCCTGCGGCTCTGCCCGGGGCTAGGAGCCACCCAAGCAGCTGCATTTCAACTTCCCCACCTCCGACCACCTCTACCTCCACATGAGTCACTCTGGTCCTGCGGTTAGGACTGCAACATGCGGGTTGTGGGGAGACACGACTCAGCCCACAACACTGGCCTCCCAGGTTCTGGGCGCTCAGTCGGAGCCCGGGCCCTGCGGGACCTCCCAAGCCCAGAGCAGGGCTGTGGACGGCCTGGAGGTCCCAGGCTCCCAGGTCCCCGTAGTGAGTTACACATGTGCTTGCTTCCTAAACATGTCTGCTACAGCACACATATGCTCACACACACACACATGCTCACACAGTGCACGCAAATGCACACACGCAGCACACATATGCTCTCACACACACATGCTCACACAGTGCACACACACGCACATGCACACAGCGCAATATGCTCGCACGCACAAATGTTTACACACATGTGCCCGCACACAGCACATACACGCACACATATGCTCACACACATGCTCACACAGTGCAGCACACGCACACATGCAGCACACACGTGCAGCACACACATGCACACACATATGCTTACACACAAATGCTCACACAATGCAGCACACGCGCACACAGTGCACACACGCGCACACACAGCACACATATGCTCACACACAGAGGCTTACACATGTGTGTGCGCACACAGCACACACCCATGCAGCACATACACGCACACACACGCAGCACACATATGCTCACACACATGCTCACACAGTGCACACACACGCACATGCGCACACAGCGCAATATGCTCACACACACAAATGCTTGCACACATGTGCACACATGCAGCACATACACACACAGCACACATATGCTCACACACACAAATGCTCACACAGTGCAGCACACACATGCACACACACAGCACACCATATGCTCACACACACATGCTCACACAGTGCACACACAGCACACACGCACACACACAAATGCTTACACAGAGACACACACACCCACATGCACACACACAGCACGCGCTCAGCACACACGCACACATGCAGCACACACGCGTGCACACAGCACACGTGCACACATGCAGCACACAACACAGCTCACACACACACTGCCTAAGGGAGCGTGCTCCCTCCCAGGCTGCACAGCCTAAAGGCTGACCGGCCAGGGAGTAGCCTGCAAGCAGCTGGGGCAGTGAGACGCCCGACGTCCTGGGAGCCAGGAGGCCAAGGTGTTTAACTTCTTCCCTCCTCCATGTGGGTGCAGGAGAAGCAAAGTCGCTGCCACCCCGAGTTAGACCCCGAGGGCCCCCAGGGGTTCTGTGGTCAGGCCTGACCATGGGGACGTGACCGCAGGGTGCGGACTGCGCAGCAGGTGTGGGGTGACGGGGAGAGGGCGGGCAGTGGACCTGCTCCGGTCCCTGCTGCCCACGGCCTGGCCCTGGGAAGCCAAGGTTGGGGGAGGGCTGGCAAGGCCTCTGAGCATCCCCGGCTGCACAAAGGGCCCGAGAGACGGTCTGCCCAGGGTTGTGGGCCCGGAGAGCCGCCGGCCGGG